CCTGCTCGCCCAGGTCCGCCCGGTTCCGGCCGCCGTCTTCCTGGGGATCTGCATCCCTGACCCGCATCGTAGGGCGCGGCGGCCGCAACAGTGTAGGCGCATGCTGCTCCAGGTACTTCTCAAGGTGCGCCTCGTCCAGCATCGCGCAGCGCTGCAGGTCCGTAGTTGAGTAGAGCCCCGCCAGGTGGTCTGCGACGAGGTCCGAGCTGCCCTCGCTCGGTTCGAGGAAGCGATCGCTCCCATTCTTCCTCGAGCGCAGCATGCGCCAGCACTGGAACTTGGAATAGACCGTGCCGTCCCAGATCAGCTTGGGGCGCCCCCGCTGATCTTCCGTCCAGACGAACTCAGCGCTGCGTGCGAGACAGGGGGGCGGGTTCTTCTGAAAGTGGTCGAAGGCCTTCGCAAACAGGCTGCGCGCCCGGCTGTCCTCCAGGTAGAACCCCTTGAGCACCGCGTGAACGCTGTACTTGAAACCCCCCGGGACCGCCCCATGCGCCGTACTCTCCTCGAACCGGACTGCCTCTTTCGGCACCCCCAAAACTGCCTCCAAGAACCCGTCCCTGAGCCGATCGAAGTGTCTCTTTCGCTCAGCAAACTCTGCATCCCTCGCCCTGACTGCCTCCTCGTAGTCGCCCGCGTCTGCGCTTGCTGTCAAAGGCACGTAGTAGTCCAGGTCCAGGTAGATGAGCGAAGGGGCCTCTTCGAGCAGACACTCGTACAGGTGCTGGCCCCGAGCGCTAAGACGGTTGCAATAAGCCACCAGCGCGGGGACGTCCTTGAAGCTTGTGTACATCTTGACACCGCTGTTCGGCGCGACGTCGGAGGCAACGAGGATGGCGTGGCCGTGGAGGTGCTTCCAAGCCACGGCGAGGTCTCTGGGTCCCCTGCCGGACGGACTCTCCCTGCTTTTGAACCACTGCTGGCCGTAGAGCCTGGTCGTTGTGTGCTTCTGCAGGGTGTTCAAACGAAAAGGGATCAGAAAGCTGCGCGACTGAGAACCCAATGGCCGTTCAGCTGTGAGCACTGGCCTGTTTACGGCATACCGCTGAAGCTGAGGCACAATCACGTTCTTAAGCGGTTTCAGGAAGCGAACAACAGACCAAGAGCCGATCGTAAGCAAGGACAGCGTGTACAATGCTACAATAGAGGCTCGTAGCAGACCGTGCAAGCTTCTCAACGGAGTATTTTGATAAACAAAGAGGCGAAAGCATCTCTTCAAGTGCCTTCTTTACAGTTCGTACATAAGAAACTTAAGTCGACGAACAACGGACTCGAGCAGGAAGTCAAGTTGGTCGCTTTGGGACCGGAAGTAGAAAGACTCTTTCAACGTGCAGGGAAAGTCACGCCGATCCTCACCAGCAGTCCGCCAACAGACTCCTCATCTACAGCCGGAGCTGGTGTGGTCCAATTCTGCCCGACGCCGCTTGCTTCCAAAACCTCCTCCGCTTCCTACACGCAGAAGCAGACTTTGTAAGCGTGTGCACGGCACAGACGAATCTTGAGAATCTTGTAAATGATTGTGTCGAAGTCAAAAAACGCCTAGCTATATAAGCATACCAATCATCCAAGCGCAGATTTTTGACTCCAGGAAGCAAGAACGGCCATCCCACACTCAGGTAAGTCGTAGTTGATGGCGCTAACCAAGAGTCAAAACTCGCTTCCTAACATAAGCATGTTCATCAAAAAGGTCCCAAGTTTTGACTCTGAACCAAGAAGGACCGTTCGACCAAACCCCTAAGTGAGCCAAGGTGACGGCGCTTTTGACGAAACTTGCCCGATTCAAAAAAGCATACCATGCACAACCGCGCAGAAACAAATCGTAAGTCGGAACGATCACTCCATTCGGTTTCTCCTTCAAAACATCATAGGTAATGGCGCCGAGAGTCAAAAGTCGCCGAACATTCTAAGCATAGCAATCCTGAAGAAGCAGACATTTGACTCCGACCCCAGCAAGGACTCAATCGGATTGAGAAAGGAAGAACCTGCGAAGTGCGCCGCTGACATGGCTATTTTGGAACACCACAGATTCGAGTGGCAGACATGGAACAAAAAGAAACGATCTCGTCCACACGAATCTCACCTGATCTTCCATGGCCACATCGTCTCGAGTTGCTGGGTCTTTGTTAGCTGACTGCCCGCCATCCGCCAGACCCGCCCGCCCTCCTTCAGATGCAGCCAGCTGGGACAGGATTATACAAGTGAGTGCAAGAAAGGCCCTCTTCGACTTGGTCAAGCTAAAGCGTCGTCATATTCTCTTTTGTGGCGCGCCTGCTTAGCAATAATGAGCTTGACCTGACCCAAAGTTTGGGCCAGCAGCCTGCTATCCAGGTCGACCGGGCCCTGCTTTTCACCTTCACCCTTGACATCTGAGCGCACCGTACCAAGCTCCTGTGTTTCGTACATGCAGCAAGTCGGGTCAGAGCATCGGCCTGAGCCTTGGGTTCGAAGGGGCGTACCTGAGAGGAGTCGCAACTTGAGGCGCCGCCAGCAGAGCTGCTGCCAGGCCCGTTGACACGTGAGCGCAGCCTGCGAAACGGACTGTGAGCCACGTCTTGCCGCTTGCGCCTTTTGACCACCAGGGGGGGCAGCTCGTCGTCTGATTCGCCCATCTCCTTGTTCATTTGAGCGTACTCAACGACAAGATTGACCGCTTCCTGTGACTCAGAATCGTGGAGAAAATCGAGATCTTTCGATGTCGGCTCTTCCGGCTCTTCTTCCTCGTAGTCCCAGTCCTGCTTGATCTCAAGATCGACCTCGCTGGCGTCGGAGGTGCTCGAATCCTGGAGAATTGAGGGATAACTCGCGCTTAGAACGTTCTCTGGTCTTAGACTGGTTTCCCGTTGAGACTTAGACGGGACAATCGTGAGATAGATGCTGAGGGGACATCCTGCTTCATTGCAACCAATCACGCTAATATGTGAAGACCCGGTTGAAAGGTTAGCAATGAGCTGCTCAAGGTCCACAGATGTTTGCTGCGTTACAAGGTCTGCCCCACCTTTCAAAGCGCCTTACGTGCAGTGCAGGCAATTGCGCAGACGCTTTGGAAGCGAACCTACAAGTACAGGAAGGGCGGGAATGGCGGCTTTTCCAAACAAAAAAGCACTACTTACTTCATCTCCCGCTCCAGATTCAGCTTGTGCAGACGGATCGCCGATTGCCTGCCCAGGAGTTCCTTTCTCAGCTGCAGCCTGCAAAGAGGGAAAGAATAAGTAGTCAACAAGAGGTATCAAAGTGCTTTCGATGGCCCGGAAGTTGACTTGTTTAGATGGGACGGCCGCTAGCCACTCAAGGACCCGAAACGTCCTGATTGCTTGTCCTGAGGAGTCAAAAGTTCGACCCAAGGATATATTCCTGTGTTCTCAAATGCCCCCGGAAATTGACTTCTCTCCAAACCCCTCTGCAAAAGCCTCCCTCTCTACAAGGGCGCTACCGCAGCGAGGATCGCGCATCCAGCATAAGGATTTTGCAATCTGGTCAACTGAAAGTACTAGAACTAACGCTGGCGCCGGCACTGACCAATAAGCTGGTTTCCTGCTCAGGCTCAATTGCCAAAGGGTCCAATCGCTGACCAATCTGCTTCAACGAGCTTTAGGCTGTGATCGATGCGCTTTGCTCTGTATTTACAGAGCGATCTGGAAAACTTGACGTGGCAACCAGACACTGAGAGATACAAGACAGGGCTCACCTTCATCCTCGAGTCCTCCATACTCAATTCTCCTCCACCACTCTCCACAGGCGCCCCAGCACTCAGGCGCGTTTGCAGCGAAGGCAAGACTGAGGCTGAGGCTGAATCCCCGCTGCCAACCCCGTCTGATGAGGGCCCTGGGTTGCTCTCGACGCAACCAATCATCAAAAGTATTGCTGCATACGTCGGAAAGACGACGGTTAGGGTGCATTGCTATGCTCGACTGCTCAAACTCGGAACAGGAAAAGAACGCTGATGAAAGGGTGGAAACAACAGGCACTGCTGAGCAGAACGTGTCACGACTGCATTCGTAGGGCTTTCAGTGCCTTACCTAGCAGCGCATGGCTCATGGGCTTCGTGTGGGGCAGCGCCACTTTGAAGTTGGCCTCCATCCAAACTGCACAAGCAACGAACTACACAATCAGCTGAAAGCTACAGTGGCTTGATGATGACGTCAGCAAGCTGGACGACGGGAATACTTTGCGCCAGAGCTTGGACAGCTCGGACAGGCCCTGCTCGAGTCCATGCTATCAGCTACAGTGGATTGAATGACGTCAGCAAGTCCGGCCGAGGGCGCAAAGAATATGGTCTGGAGCTTGGACAGCTTGAACACTCGCTACTCGGGCTGAAGCTGTCAGCAAAAAGAGGAAAACAACCAGCTCAAGTCAAGCCTCGATCAGCAAGGGACGGGCCTAGCCACCAGGTTACTTAACCAGATTCCCTCACCTGGCAGAGAGCAGGCTATGTGTGCTGGTCCTGCAGAAGAGCTGGCCTCGTCCATCTGCCGCAGCTCCTCTTCAAGCCTCGCCACCTCCGCTTTCAAACGGCGCGCTTGAAGTCGGTCCCGTACCCAGACTGCAGGAGGCAAGCGCATTGATTGGAGACTCTAGGTGACCACATGTGCCAGTACCTGGTTGAACCCTGGTTGAATCCAGCTCTATATGTGGACACGAGTTCACATTCTTTGGGCCTCTGCACAGGCCTTCCGAACCTCTTACCTGCGCGGTCTTTGTCGATGCAGAAGCAGCCACTGGAAGCAACATGCGCGCTGCAGAAGTATCTCTCTTTTCCACCCTCCTTGCTTCCACGATGCCCAAACTCCGCAATGGCGTTGCACTGATGGCAATAAAGGCTATGGGGGTCTGGAAGGATGCAGAGACAACAGTGTTTTTAAGGTGGCAGTTTGAAGGCTGGTGCTGTCTGAAAGTATTAAAGGCCTAAGCACAGCTGATTCCGTATTGAAAAGACTCGAGCCATTCTGAGGTTCGGCAATTCGAAAGATGGCAGCCAGTGGTGGAGCAGAATGGACACCTATCCCTGCAGTGCTCAACAAAAGTCTAGCGCTGCACAACATAACAAAGTGACTCAAGTTTCCACCCCTTCGAAGTGCTGCAACATCACCAGGTTGTTGGCCGTGTCCAGGGCTGATGCTGCCTTCTCACCTTCGCTGTAGGTGCACCAAGTGTTCGGGCAAGGTGCCGCTTCGCAGACTTTTCTGCACTTGTAGATGAGCGGCAGGGACGTACTGGCGAGGGCCCACAAGCAGCTCGCGCCCCCTTGGACTTCTGGCCCCGCCTGCGGTGCGGGGCAGGTTCAGCCTCGCACCGCATGTTGACAGCAGCGATGAGGGCCTCCTGCTTCTCAGCGCTGATTGCGATGCGCTCCCTGTAGTTGGCGGCGCGCGCATGTCGTTCCGCCTGACAAACCCTATGATCTGACTTCGTCCTTCCCTTGGGGCGAGTCCTGGCCATGTCCTACAAGAACCCAACTGCAGTAAGAGAAGTAAAGGAAAGCATTAACCAGAGATGAGAAACTGAATCCAGTCACAGATGCAATGTGTTGATCACGAGTCTGGCGCTGCTTCCTTTCAACATAGACCTGTGGGCTAACCATTCTCCCTCTCTATGTAAGTCCTTCAAGCAATTGGCAGCCTAAAACCCTCAATCCAGACGGTCTTTGAATACAAAGAAGGCACGCAGGAGAGCGCCAATGAAAAAGAGGACAAGATTGAGGTGCAACATCTCAATGACTGCCACACTGCCATTGGGCATCATTTCGACAGCTCAAAACGTGAAAGAGAAGTAGCGCCAAGCTGGGACCTGATTCATGGGGTCCCCAACAATCGCCACCACCTTTTGATCATTGTATCAAGCTCAAAGGGAGCAGAGACAACAGCTTTCTGACTCCAGGTTGACAGATCTGATTAAGTATGCAGGAAAACAGCCTTTGCGACGCTCAACGCCGTACGTATCAAGTGGCGTTCTCGTGTCACCACCACTTGCTTGATCCTTGATGTGGGCAAGCTATTCTGATCTCTTGCTACATTCTGACAACCAGAAATTGCACGAATTGCGACCTGACTGGAAGCAACGATGCTTGAATACTTCCTGCACCTCGCGGTGTGCCAGCCGCCAAACTGGAAGCCAGAATCTTTGACATGATCAGCTGAAACACTCAGGCCCCAAGTCATACCTGACGCTCCGATGATGCTTTGGCGAGAGGTACACGGACTGGATCGGCTTGCTCCCACAATCTCCCCGCTGATGACCTGCGCAGATTGACTACCACTCAGACTGGATTGACAGAAAACCCCTCCATAAGCATCATGTCCAGCCTGGCTAGCACTGGCTGGATTATTAACCTCTGAACTTCGTCAGGATACTCATGACTTGAGGAAGGTTGTACAACTGCAAGCAATCACATAGCAGCAGCGGTTCTCAGATGATTTGAGCTGTGCTTACCTGTAAGTGGCGCCCGTGAAAGCGGTAGGGGATAGCTCAAAGCATTTGCACCGCATGCAACTCCAACAGCCTCTTGACAGCAATTGAGGACCTAACGACACAGATCGTTTAGCAAGCTTTGCAGACAAGCTGCAGACTAGCTGAAAGAGGCTCCAAGCCAGGTGAGTCAAGCTCCAAGCCAGCTGACTCAAGTCCCTATCCATCTGAGTCAGCATAGTAGTAGAGACTCCCACGTGGTTGGCAGCAGCAGGGTGCCATGAAACGCACCAAAGGTGCCACTGCGAGCTGGGTGCCATCAGCACGGTGCCGTCAGTGGCACCAAAGGGTGCCTGGGCCCGAGGTGCTGGTGCCATTGCGAGCTGATCTGCTGAACAGGGACAGGACGGAGCAACTAGGGCAGGGTTTACGCTTGTCAGGCTGCTAACAGTGTACGGTCGAACCGGGAGTCCTCGGTAATGGCCGGGCGGCCAGCTACCATCTAGACTACGATGGGCGGGGCGCCCGGTGGTCGTACCCGGGGTTGAATGGAGCTCGTCTCTGCTGAAACGACGAGCTCGCACCCCTATTTTTACCCGGGTATGGCCGGACTGCCGAGGGGGGGCTGGCATGGCGCCCTCTCAGTGGCCGGAACTTTATGCCAAACTCACACACACACACACGAGCCCGGTATAAATGGGTCGGCAACGCCAACAGTCCGAAGATATAAGAGTCCGGTCTCGGTCTAGGATCCTCCTACCCTAGACAAAGTGTGC